TACTCAATCAAGCTATTATTATTACTACAGTAGTGTTATATAAGAGCTAATGTAATCAATCATTGTGAGTTTGAAAATGCCTATATAGGACAAAACTGCAGTAACGTTAGTTAGAAATAAAAGTGGTAAAAAACGAAGAAAGTTTCAATTCTCTTCTCTTTATTGACTCTGCCTTTTATTATCCCTGCCCAAATATTGACTTTCTGAGGGTGTTGAGTACGCCTTTCGATCATTCAATTAGGATTATCCCTGTACAAATATCTGCCGTTTTGACGATATTCTGCAACATTCAAGCAAAAGTAGCCTATTCAGTTTTTATATTTGATAATGGGATAAAACCTCAAACCGGTCGTAAGAATCATATAACTTGTGGAAATTAATATTACTGTAGTTTTATCCCAGCACCAAACCGTTATTTAAAGACCTCGACACGTGTTTCTATCAAGAAGTGATAATTTTCAAGAAAAAGTTTAATCTTATGCTTGAAGATGATCACTTGGTGATAGAAACACGTGTCAAGGTGTTAAAATAATCGTTTGATGTTGAAATAAAACTCTAGTAATATTCACTACTACACCAAAGGTTCCAAACAGTGAATCACAAGTAGTGGAAATTAGACAAAAGTGTTTTCATTAATTTCATTAAAGTTCATGTGGTTGTACTTCCTACGGATGACACTTTTCTACTTTCAGAATATGTGATACAGAACATTGAGATATGTCTTTGTCTAATGCATTTCGTTATGAAGTATTGTGAGGATTATTCTCTTGCTGGGTTCTGGCTTCATCTCCGTCTTCAATAAAAAATAAAATTTTTAATAATTGAGTTTCACTCATAGCTGTCACAGTTTATTTCGAAACCTTTTTTCACTCAGGATATGTAGTGAATATAGGTACCACAAAACGCGTTACCTTGATATCTCAAATGACATTTACTTGGCACTAACCTAGGTTAGTGCTATACGAAAAATGAAGTATGAGATACACGATTTCAGTTGGAAATGATATAATTTTGGAAAAGATTATTTTCAGGTGAAAAGAGGATTCGCTTTTTACTTCTCAACCTTCTCAGAAAAATGTATGGAATTTTGCATTTTTTCATAACGAATTTTTTCTAACGCTCAGGTTATGACGAGACAAGTGCGACCATAGACTACCCCGATTCGAATTTGTACAATACTATAATCTTGCGATAGACTCACAGACAGCTCGCGAGTGGTTCGCAAGCCGCATGACAATATTTTTTTGAATGTCAAAAGTTTACCAAGAATAGGTTGCGACATGATGGTGTATCCATCCCCAAATAATGCACATATTATTTGAGAGTGTCTAAATGACGTTTCCCTAGGAAGTGGATTGGTAGGCACGAAATTATACAGTAGATCTCAAGATCTCCAGATCTTTAGCCACTGGATTTTTCCTACACAAGGTTATTTGGAGGTTATTTGAAATCGAAACTCTCTGTAGGTAGACCGCAAAATTGAGAGGAGTTGGAAAATCGAATCAGGGTCGAAATTAGCAGAATTATTCTACAAGTTATTCGTAATGTGCAAGAAGTATCCGTAGTTTTTTTATTGCCGATAATACTGATGGAGATATCAAATTGATGATCACCACTGACTGCAATATTGAAAGACCTTTCAGATGAAAAATCACAAGACCCATATTTCAATTCAAAATAACCACTTATAACGTCACCACGTCAGAACAAATGATGTCATCACGTCAGAACAAATGACGTAATATCTTCAGAATAAACATTAAAAAATTGGCATTTATAAATAAAAATACACCTATTTCAGGATTCTTATGAAAAGTACATTATATGTGAAGTAAATAATTGGTTTTATAATTCATGGATACATGAACTGAATGAAAATAGATAAAACCTTAGATTGACGTTCATACGAACGTCAAAGCCAAACTCTGCTATTTAATTCAATTTCTGTTAGATATAAGTTCAGCATACGTAAATCCTATACAAACAACCATCTAATTGAGCACTAAGGTGCAATTCTTAATTTCACCTCAGGCTCGTTTTCTCTGAGCATCAACCATATTTACTGAAATATATACGAGTGTAAGTTTTAGAATAAGCAAATGAATTTCATGCTCTCGTGAAAAATTAGAAATTATTCTTTGAGAAATGTAGTAATTAGCAATGCTTTCATGGAAGGGAGACATGAATAATGCCGCCACTCCCCACTGTACTGGCTATACATTATATGTGAAGTAAATAATTGGTTTTATAATTCATGGATACATGAACTGAATGAAGATAGATAAAACCTCAGATTGACGTTCGTACGAAACCGTAAAAGGCCAAAATCTGCTATTTAATTCAATTTCTGTTAGATATAAGTTCAGCATACGTAAATCCTATACAAACAACCATCTAATTGAGTACTAAGGTGCAATTCTTAATTTCACCTCAGGCTCGTTTTCTCTGAGCATCAACCATCCTTCAGAGTCAAACACATTCCTTGCACAATAATTATTCTCTATACCTTATATACCGAATAATATTGCCAAGGAGCGATATTTACTGAAATATATACGAGTGTAAGTTTTAGAATAAGCAAACGAATTTCATGCTCTCGTGGAAAATTAGAAATTATTCTTTGAGAAATGTAGTAATTAGCAATGCTTTCATGGAAGGGAGACATGAATAATGCCGCCACTCCCCACTGTACTGGCTCGGAAGCCTTTCAACTGGGCATATTTCCTCTACCCAGCTCAGTCACTGCCAAGGAAACACCCTCTTCAAATTAAGGGGGTAGAAGACCCAACTTTATTAAACCAATATATAGATAACATTGCATTACAATTACAATAAACTCAAGTATGCTCATTCTGATAATTGATATACATTTTATCATTAAGAAATTGATCGCTCCTCTTCATATTCACAATATTTACACCAGAAAGCAAACATTATAGGTCCTCAAGTCATTTTCTTTATTGCATACCGATCAGCTCAGATTGGGAAGATGGTCGCCTCTTCGGTATGTCAGTAAGCTAACAGTAAGCTGACAGCCTGATTTTCATATGTCCCATTCGTCTCGCACCACACTCTCTGCTCATTCATTCGCGATGCGTATCCATTCAATGTTTCTCCCGTTTCTATCTCTCAGTTGCATTCTACCCCTCTCTAGTTTCAGTCTTTCTTTCCATTCTCTCCACTCAACTTTGTCTCCATGCATGCATCTCTCAAGCACATGATCTGCCGTTTCAGGCTCTCCAGACAAGGCACCTCCGGTCCCAGGTTGAATCTAGTTAGGTAACCCGGAAAGTTACCGTGCCCTGTGATCAGTTTAACAGCCTTTCTCAACAGATTCAGTGCTTCATACCCGACTGCTCGACAAAATCTGTCACTCCGTTATCCCATTCTTGCTGCCATTCTTCCGTAATTCGCTCTTTCATCGTTTTTCTCTCTTCATTCTAATCACTCATTCTTCTTACCTCCCAAGTAACACGGTCCTTACCAATACCTTTGGTGGCCTCTTCATGCGCCTTTTCGTTTCCGATGTTATCACTTTGGTGTCTTTTGCGCCATACTATTTCAGTCCTAGCTCCCCTCTCATTCCTCTCTTCAATCATCCTCTGGATCCTAGCTACTCTTTTGTTTCTCACTCGTACTGCTTTCCACCGTTATAGCGGAATCGCTGACGATTCTCATGATTTCATTCAAACTCCATGTGCTGACCACTCTCTCTATCGCAGTCAATTCGGCTTCGTTCACACTGTTCTGTTCCGGAATCCTCTCGTTCCCTAGAACCCACTCGCTTTAATTCCTTTCATACGCCCAGCCTATGCCCATTCTTCCATCCTCCATTCTCGCTCCGGCGTCCACGTATACTTCAGTCATTCTCTCGTCCTGCATCTCCTCCAGCAACATCCCTTGCATCCAAGGAAGTACCATGTCTATTCCTTTCATTCTATCTTCGATTTTCCTTTCTCCATGTATTCTCCATTCATGGTATCTGACTTCTATATGAAGTGGGGCTATTCTTGAGATCACGCTGAGCACGGCGACAGCGTCGTTCTGTACGCCCCACATGAGGCAATCAGAAAAGGCCTCTGCGTCGCACTCAGTTGTCTCCTAAGGAAGGGAGACAGTGCGTAGGAATGAAAGTACGTTGTAAATTTGTCAAATGGATAGTAACTTTTGACTAACAAATACCAACATTTTTCTCAACTTTTTTCGGTCAACAATTACAAGCGTAGTACCAATGATAGTAGATTGAATAGTTACGTCAACTACATTCAATAAGACGATATTTCTCAACTACAATCGGATAGGACAACCAATGGCGGATCCAGAAAATCATTTGGAGGGGCAGTTCACAACTCAGAGAATAGGGTACATGAACCTTCCACAAAGCACTGAGTCCTTGGAGGTTTTCTACTGATGTTCAGTAGTATGCATTCATTAACAAACATCTGAAAATAACACCTTCAGAGATATTTTTTTTTCTGCTTTCTAATGTATATGTTCAACACTTCATTGTATTGGAAATATCCTGGTGTACGTGCAGTAGAGTCGAACCATTCAGTCTTTCTTCAGTAATTATATTGCGTAGATATGTTTTTAAACGACGCAAAGCTGAAAAAGTTCTCTCTGCTGAACTGATAGTCACTGAAAGAGTGAACAATAGCTGTTGTTTGGGAGAAAATCGGCAAACTTGTAAGCTTACGTCGGGTTCTAGGCAACTCATTTTCGGGATTTGATTTCCACATTTGTTTTCAAATTTGCAACTCACCTTCCAAGGCCTAAAAGCGTGGCAAATCTTCTTTGTATTTGATTGCACCTTGAAAAATATCACTAATGTAGCATCATTCATATCGGATGTTAACAGCTGTTGCAGCATGCCTACACATTCCACCCCCTTTTTGGGGAACCTTGCAGTCAGTTAATTTATAATGAAATCAAGTAACGGGATGTACACACACACACTAAATGAAATCTTCTTCGACTTTGTATTCCTTGGTGTATACCTTATGCAAATTGTAAGTTATTTAACAGACAAACATGTGATCTCATATGCTATTATTGTGAGAAACTTAGACTCTTTCATTTTATTCAAAATCTTGTCAGTGATAACTTTACCACAGCATTCTATAACTTCATTCTGCGTGGTTTTTTATATGTAAGACTAGTACGTCATCACCAGCGTCAACGCTGAATTTGAGCAGTGCTCTGAAATTTCCTTCGCTGAAACACCTCCCAGTTGTCCCAATAATACCATCGTCTCTGTGCCCCCTCAAGGGTATATTTTGGGCACCACACAAAATGACCATTTTATTAAATGGAATAAGCTTCCTACGATTCTCTTCAATTGATTTTTTTCTGCTGCATTCATGCTGGCCATTATACTATTTGCTGTACCCTTATGAGTCACACTAAATTTGTTATAAAGCACCGCATTTTTTTGATATCCCGCATTGGAATGTTTTTTCAAAATTTCTACAGCTTTCTTATAGGTTATCATTGGATTGACTACTAATTCTCCTAGTTCCACATCGTTAGTTCCAACTTCACAACGAACAAACATCACACAAGTCTCAAGTCACTGCATAACGAAAAACGTGGTTATATCTCCAAATTATATCAAGTGTACTTTCAATCCTCTGGGGGGACATGTGCTCCTGTGCCATTGAGGATAAATCCACCACTGAGGACAACACTGTTCCGAACCAAAAAACTGTTCACACCTCAGCAACTTTTGATGCTTTATAAGGCTTAGATCATACCTTCTTTGGAGTATTGTTCTCATGTATGGGGCTCCGCCCTTAAGCATACCCTGAAGCTGCTCGATTTCATCCAGAAAAGAGCCATCCGCCTGGGTGGCATCATCACTTGTCTGGAACATCAAAGAAAGGTTGGAGATTTGTCTCTCTTCTGAAGACTTTCAGGGGAACTGTTCAAGTGAATTGGCACATTTCATTCCACCAAGAGCGGTACATATCAGAAATACGTGACGGATTGTGGCTGATTTTGTGGTTCTACTCAATACACCTCAAACTCCACTGTTCAAAAACTTTTTCATCTGAAGAACGGCCCTCGAGTAGAATAAACTTCCTGAGAACTTTTTTCCAAATGGAATTAATCTCCAGCGATTCAAATCCAATATGAATCACTACTTCCGCACAGGCACCACTCTTAGAGCGCCTTAAGGATTTTTCTGTAGTGCTTGTGTTGTGTCCTTGAAAAATGTGAATTCTAGGACTTCACTGCATATATTGTATAAGTCAATCAGCCAAAAATATCAGGAACCAATAGTTGTTTCACAATTTTAAAATGAAATAGATGAAACTCATCTTCAGGGAAGATTAAACGCTAGTCAATTGAGTCCATTGAGCAGAAATATCAAGAACCAATAGTTGTTTCACTATTTGAGAGACGTTTTTCTCTGAGGCAGGCACCGTTTCTTGGTATTTTCAACTTTCTACAAACTGGGAAATGAATACATCTGAATCAACTGAAAATCGAAACAAGTGTTACTACAGATAAACTGAAAAGTTCACTCTATAGCATATATTCTTTTGGCTAAAGAAAATAGTACTTCAATCACTCTCTGGAGATGGATCTCACCTATAGTTATCATTGTTGAGACAACAGGTTGAAAACGGAAATGAAAACTGCGTTCTACGACAACATGCTTATTACGATGAAGATGTCTGTACATTTGTTTGAAGGTGGTTGACAATGTTTCGTGGTGTAATTTCATCAGTTCGGACTTCCATTCTCTAATTTAATATAAATTGATTTGAAATCCCTGAAAGAATCTGTAAAAAATTAAAAAGAGTACCCAAAAAATAACAATTTTATTGAACAAAAAACTGAAATTATGAAGAAATAACATACAAGCAACAACCAAAAAAAAACAAAAGAAAATGGAAATGTTAATACAAGCTAAAAATTAAAACAATTAAAAAATTTCATCAGCAAGAAATGAAAATTAAAAATTAAAAAATTCCAAACCATGTTATGTCACGACGTTTCGATTGTTAGTATTCACAATTGTCTTCGGGTGATAACTGGACTTATTCCATCTTCCCCTCTTCCCTCTCTCCGCTTCATTGGTTTTAGCGGGAGATGACCGTTTGGCGGGAGTTTGTCGTTTTCCGCTTGATTAGAGGTTCCCATATGCTACGTTTCTCTACGCTAGCTTGGCTAGATGTATTTTTGGCTTCTTTGGATTTTCTCCTAAACCAGTGTTCCTCCTTGTGGATAATTTCAGCTTGAGCCCACTTGATGTTATGTTGATGAGTCCAAACATGCTCTGCTATTTCGGATTTGCTTGGTTTCTCCTCGCTGTGTATGTTTCTTGTGCTCAGCAATGCGAACTTTCAATGGCCTCTTAGTTTCACCGATGTATGATTCTCCGCACTCGCAGGGTATTCGGTAAATGCAATTCTTGGAATCGCAGTTCGCGTTTGGTGGCCTGGTTTTCGTGGAGCTGCTACGGATAGTATTCCCAGATCTGAAACAGGCCCTGATGTTATACTTGGACCCAATCCTTCTTATCCTTTTCAATAATCTCTGATGTAGGGAAGTACAAGTACTGGTTGTGGCGGCTTCTCTTCCTTGTGGAGCTCTTGCTGTTTTCTAGCTAATGCTTGTTCTACCATCAATCTGAAGTAACTATACCATTGAAGGTCATTTTTGATGATGCCTAGTTCCTTTTCGAAAAGTTCCTTTGTATTGCAGAGCCCGAAAGCACGGTCTAGTAGAGTCTTGATGATTCCTCTCTTAGTCGATTAATGGTAGTTGGATTTCTGGTTCAGATACTGTCCTATATGAGTGGGTTTTTGATATAGAGATATTTCCCATTAACTGTCGGTCGTCTTCACCAATACACTAAGAATGGCAATTCGTTGTGGACTTCCTTCTCATCAATGCCTGTACATTGATGAAGTATCCTCCATGCCACCACGCACTTTCCAAATGATTCTTTCATTATGAGAGCAGGCTTCTACTTACGGAGAAAACAATGAGCCTTGTAGTACTAAACGTTTCGTCTACTACTTCGTCAGATATCGTTGACATCAACGCACATACATATCACCGATGTTGTCTGCCGCAGTAGCAGACGTTTGGTACTGCCAATTCTAGTCAACCACTGCCTACCAGCCTATTGTAAGATATTCATCCTAACTGATAGGATGAATATCTTACAATAGGACCTATCAACTTTTTCGTTTGTGGCTCTAACACAGTGAATTTGCCTTTATATCTTCCTTGTCTGGTGATCATGTTCTAATGGAACTAATTCGGCCTTATTTTTTACTACTCAAGCAGAATTATTCTCAAGTTGAATTGGTAAATGTTAAATTAACACGAGAAAAATACGAACTAGTACCATTCAGTAAATCATTTATTTTGCGAAAACTGAAAAAGGCTACAACATATATTTTCTAGTACAATGAATGACTTCCAAGACAAAAACCCTGATTGGAAATTTGAAGATGAAGTGATTTTTCCCTCTAATGAACTACTTCATAGATAAAAACATATATTGGAGTATAAATGATGATGTTTATCCATATGTGAATGTGGTTGACGAAATTTCTTGATGAATGTTTCGATCATCCCTTACCAAATATCCCTAATAGTATTCATTGAATCATAAAAAAGGATTTGAGTTCATTTAAAAGCGATTTTTTTTCCAATTTCACTATCAATAATAATGTAATAATCAAGATGCAATTCATGAATTTCATTTCAGTTTTTTCTGCTGCTTACTTGGACATGTGCTGTACTCTTCACACAAAAAGCTTCAGGATCACCTCCAGGACCGATACATGCCCCACTGGATATAATTTCATTAGAAGACATAACACCTGAAGAAAGGAAGGAAATAGCATATTTCGAACAAAAGCTAGGACGACCCAAAAGGTATATTTTTCAGAGAGATACACTCTCAAACATATATTCAATCAACGATCTTGGGTGCCTCATTGTGTCTGCTTCTGTCTCTAATACCTTTGTTATTTTTACTTTTTTGTGTATGACTCTTTTTTTTTCGCACACCAGATGACGAATTTTTATCGGCCAATTTTTGATTCCTATGTTTTCAATATTTTGACGGTATTTACTGTCATCGTCATTGAGACCTAGAGCAATATTTTCAAAGTATGAGTCATCAGAAAGAATGAGTAATTACGTATAGTGTTGATGTGAATGATCCCTGATGATGCTTTTCAAAATGGTGACACACATGGAAGTGAAAAAACAGTATCGAAATGAAAGTTGCGATAGTGACCATATATCACAACAAACACCAACAGCTGCTGATTGTTTTCCATTGTAGCGTCTTTCAATATGCATAATTTCTTGATTTAACTCATCGCAATTCTCATCTTATACGGCACTGGAATTTTCAAAGAAGAAATTTGCATGCGAGTCCACAAAATGAATTTTGAGTGACATATTGCATCCTCAAGCTTTATAATCGGAAACAAGTTCTGGATTGATTTGTCGGTAGTTGCCAGCTTTTGTATCACCAAAGAAATCAAGACAGACTTCGATAAAAGCCGTCCAAGTTATTTTTTCTGTTTTGATCAACTTTGAATCGAAAGATTCATCCGTCATAATCTTTTCTATTTGCGGACCCACAAAAAATTCATTCTTTCAATTTCACGTCACTAATTCGAGGAAATTTCGTTTTGAGATATTGAAAGCCACCATCGTTCTTGTTCATAATTTCTACAAAGTTTTTCATGAATTCCAACTGCAGTTAAAGTGGTGGCAAAAAAATGTTGTCCTTGGTACTATTGAGACACATTTTTAGGTGTAGCTGTCAAGCTTTTTCTTTGGAATCAAGTTATCATTTTGTAATGCTTTTCTCTTGCGCAACTGTCAAATTATGTGCATTGAACATTTTGGCGGCACATATACATGTTTTTGCATGTAACTGTATCATGGATGACAGAAATGTCAGGAATATTTGTCGCATATGGTATTGCGTAAAGGAAACAAACTTCTCGACTGGTCAATAACCTCTGTTGCCAATCAGCATCACTGAAAGGGGTGGTTAAAATGTGAAATTTGTAAAATTATTCCATAAACAAAAATAACTTGCTTGAAATTATTGTTTTTGGTGGAGTAAATGCTACAAATTTTTTTATTGATGTTACCTGCTGAGAAATTATTCCAAATGTAAGGATTTTCACTCAATAAAGAGAAAGCAATAGATTTTACTTGAAGATAAAAGTTTGAACTTGAAAAATATACCAAACTTACGAACTCCGAGGTGTTGAAATCTCAAGAATGTTTCCCAGCATGATTTTACAAATTTTCCAGATTAGTTTATTAAATTCTGCACATGCTCTCTAGTGAATTCCGCACTAGTTCGGACTTCCATTGTCTAATATGATATAAAATGATTTGAAATTCCAGAAAGCATAAATGAAATTGAAATGAATTGCTGTAAGAAACAATTATATTAAGCAAAAAAACCTGAAATGAAATTACAATAAAATGAAATACAAGCCACAATTGAAAATTGAACAATAAAAAAAAAAATAAAAATTGAAAGATTTCAAGCCAAGTTACTTTACGACGTTTCGATTGTTAGTATCCACATTCGTCTTCGGGTGATGAATGGACTCATTCCTCCGAGAAATGAACTATTTATATATCTATTTATGTACCTATCCGTCTCTCCGCTTCAATCCGAACATGCTCTGCTATTCCCGATTTCTGGTTTCTCCTCGCTTTATGTGTTTCTTGTGCTCGGCAATGCAGCAGGAAATGTTATTTCATCATCATATGAAAATTAATGAAAACTACACGTCGTCCTGGTTTTGTTCAGGTTGGAGCCCAGCTTCCTTACCCTTTTGGCTGATTTTTGTCGAAAAAGGACAAATGAGTTCATGACTGAGGGGATGACGGCTTGAAGTCCTCAGACATCAGTGCCGCCCTACCTGGCTGGGGTAGGATGGATGAAAAATCTATTCGTCCGTTAATGGGGGACATGAGGGACTCATTCGACAGAGTGTCGGGGCCTTCTGTATCGGGAGGGGTCGTCTACAACATAGTCTATAGCTTCCCTAACTAACGGATTTTCGTGAGTTTCCGCACCTTCAAAAACCTGCCGATTCCTCGACTGAATGGACTGCCGAATGGAAGGCAGCTGCAAATCTCTGCGGATGGCTTCGTTCCGCACGAACCAAGGAGCATTCACAATCATCAGCTTATTTTGCAATACCTCCAGAATGGAGATATTATGTTTCGCCGCTTGTCCCCAGACGCCTGAAGCATACATGATGATAGGCTTGAACATCGTGTTGTAGATTGTAATATTGTTTTTCAAACTCATTTCTGATTTTCTGTTGATCAGAGAGTACAGAGGGTAATCCGACCCTCGATCTTTGATTTGACATACATAATGGGCGAATTTCAAGTGAGCCTACGGTCTATTAGAAAACCGAGGTACTTTACCCGCGCTTGCCAGTCAATCTCCCTTCCAGAGATTTTTACTTTTCTGGTCGAATAAGATAGCAATCTTCCCATGGTTATCGCCTGAGACTTATCCGGGTTCACTCGGATGTTCCAATAGAGGTACCAGCGCTCGAGGTCGTCCAATGCACGTTGCATGTAGACGACGCCGAGCTCTCGATCCATGGAAGACAAGAGAGGAGACGTGTCATCGGCGTTTAGGAATATCTTCACACACTCGGACCTTGGGAGATAACTGGTGTAAAGAGAATACAGCGTCGAAGAGAGCACAGCCCCCTGTGGCACTCCAGCGAGGATCTGTCTGTTGTCAGACAGAGAGCTCTCTACTCTAACCTGAAATGTTCCGTCTTTCAGAAAAGACCCAATCCACCGGATCAGGCCCCGAGGCAGGTTGAACGCGTCTAATTTGTCCAGAAGGCCTTTGTGCTATACTCGGTCGAAGGCCTTCGAGATGTCTAATAGTACAATGTGTACTTTTTCATTTGTATTTAGCTCATGTATAGTGTTTTCGACCAGCCTTAGAGCCTGTAACTCAGTGGAGTGTTCTCTCCTGAAGCCAAATTGTTCATCAGAAAGAACAATTTGGTCCTCAAGAACCACTCTTTCAGCCAGCTTAGCCGCCGACAAGAGTAGACTGATCGGCTGATCTGACCCTGTTTTGGGATCATGACGACGAACGCATGATTCTACCTTCTGTGGAAGTATCTGAGGGCCAACGAGCTATTTATAATCTGACTGTTTTTAAAATCTGTTTTTCCATTGATCAGCTGTCGCCCCCATACGAACGATAACTCTCTGAAGTTGAGAAACTTGTGCGAGCTGATGACTAACGAGGTCTTACCTTTTAACATGTAATTCCTAATGAACAGTAAGTTCTCGATTCAGGTTTCCGGGAGCTTCTTCAATAACTTATTGGTTATTGAGTCGACCCCCGGTCTTTTCTTGGCCCTTGCGGCCCTAATGTATCCCATCAGCTCTTTCACAGAAGCTGGACGGATGTCATCATTGTCATCTTCCCTGAGGATTCAGTGTTCCAACAGCATATCGCGGTCGATATCGTCATCGTCGTCAACGTTAAGCTGAAACTGACGTTCCATTGTGTCAGCAAAGGCTAACGCTTTGTCGACGGGGGAGTAGCACACTCCGCGCTCTCTGTGGATGGGTGAGAGAGCAGTCTTCTTCCCATTGAACCTGCGGGTGACTCGTCAAAGCTCGTCATCCCCAGGTTCAAAGGATTCAAGAAGTTCTTCCACCTTTCATTTCGATGATCAATGATGGCCTCCTCGACTTGGTTGGCCATCCTGTTTGCCGCAATTTTGTCCCCTGGGAAGAGGGTTCGTTGATAGAGCCTTCTCAAGCGATTTCTCTCTCGTATCAAGTCTTTGATACGAGGGAGAAACTCATTATAGCTCTTCAACGGACACTCTTCCCTGGAGGTGGCCGCTCAAAAGGCATCATTTACAGAAAGCTCGAAACGTTCAACTGCCGCGTCGAGTTCGTCGGGAGAGAGGAGTACCTCAGGAGGGGCACGCATCTCTCCGAGCTGGGCTGTGAAGATATCCCAATTAGTCTTAGATCTCATGCGATAATCAGGGGAAGGAAGATCATCGCCCAATACCAGGATTACTGGATTATGATCGGAATCCAGTTCCGACAGAACGTAAATTTCGCTAGTCAGAGAGACGTTTCTGAGAAGCGCGATGTCTAGTACATCAGGCCTAGTCTGCCCGCGATAGACCTAAGCTCATCTGGTTCCAGCGCAAGATATTTATGTCTGTCAACATGCGCATGGAGTGCTTGGCCGTTTCGATTTGTGGTTCTGCTCCATGGTGTGTGCTTGGCATTGAAGTCGCCAGCAGCAATTGTCGGAATGTTGCTTCCCATCAGCAGTTCATCCAAAGATTCTGGGAGTAAATGATCGTTCGGGGGGTTGTAAACTGAGATTATTCTTTGACAACCCCTGCTCAGTTGAATTTTGACTCCCACGGCCTCAGTTCCGTAAAATCGGACACTGTCAATACCGTACTAGACGCACTGAAGGGATCGTTTGACAAAAATGCCAACTCCCCCTGCAGCACGTCCACCACGTTCTCTGTGATAGAGTCTGTGATTTGAAATGACAATAGATTCGTCCCTCAGATGTGTCTCCTGAACCAGAGCCACATCGATGTTGCAGTCAGTGATAAAATTTTCGAAGTACAATTTTTTGGAAAGAATGCCATTGGCATTCCAAAAAATTATCTTCAGAGGCAATATTGGCAATATTGGTTGTCTAGACATTGGCAGTTCCGGTGATCGCGTCGGTATTCACCGTGAATATTTTCTGTAGCACGGGGAATTTGACGAATAGCTTTTCCATCTGGTCCAGTGCGGCACAGATGTCTAAAACCTCCCGAGTCTGAGGTGAGGTTTCAGGTCCAGGAAAGGTGGGCTTTGCTGTACTGCTTGCACTCTTGGATGCAGCTCTAGCAAAACTGACCCCCTCCTGAACGCGTTCAGACTCCGCAGGTCTCCCTGAAGGGGCTGTTTTTTTTGGGTCTTGGCTGCCTTTTGCGTTGTACCTTGGGGTACGCAGGGCAGTTGCGATAATTTGCTGTATGGACCCCTTTGCAGTTATTGCACTTCGGGGGGGTCAGTCCTGGCCTTTTTACAGGCATTTGTTAGGGGCCTACCAGCGCAGTTGACACAGATGGGCACTGCCAGGCAGTTGCGCTGACAGTGGCCGAAACGCTGACAACGGTGGCACTGACCCACCGAAGTTTTTGGGTGTTGGGGTTCGACCTGAACCTTTACACTCAAGAGGTCTTTGACCTCAAATATGTGCTTCTGGTCTCTGTTTATCAAAACAAGGATCAGAGGCATCGGTTTGCCAGCGCGCTTCATACGCGTGACGCTGGTGGGGTCAAAGCCTTGGCTTCGAGCTCCTCACGAATATCGTCGACTGCCAAGTGCTCTGGCACTTCCCTTAATACGGCACGAATTTGCCGTTCTTCAGGGAGCGAATAGGTATGGTGAGGAATTTTCTCCTTCACAGGAGTCTTGCCAGTCGACGATAGTCGTCAGAAGACTCCGGTTGAACCTTATTTCCGTCATGTGAATTGACGGCTTTTGAGAACATTAAGTTCTCTTGAGCCGTCAATTTCATCAGTGACACCCATTTGTCCTTCCGGCGGACGACAATGGATGGAATTCTAGCGTTTGAGGCCGTTGGATGCATGTTTTGCGTTGGAGCGGTAGGGGGTGGGCTCCTCGTCATAAACTGATTTGATAGTGCCCACAGATTTGTCAGATGCACTATCATTTGATGTCTTCACGTTGACGTCCATTTCAACATCTTTTATGTTTCCACTAGATGTGGCCACCTCGTTGGCCTGATTTTGGGCGACTGGTAGAGAAGAGGCTTCAGACTCGGAATAAAATTTCCGAGTCTCGTTCTTGACATTGTCAAGAACGGCTTTTTTTCTTGAACTCTTTTGGTTTAGTTTTATTGGCTGGCTTTTCGTTATTTCCACGAACCCATTCGTCGATACGAGTCTTGGAGACGTCGGGCAATGGAGGGAAACCGTCATTAAATCTCCTCTTCTTGGATGCAGAGGTGGTGAAGGAAATTACGCTGTTGTCGTCGCTAAATTCATGTTCAGAGAAACAGTCACAGACAGGTTGAGTATTAACCACTCCCTGATTACGAGCAGTCAGCGAGTGACAGTTATCCCCAAGGTTTGGCAATGCTTTGCCAAGCAAGTCCGACTGAGTCAGGCTCAGGGCAGAAATCAATTGGCTTATAAAGCCAATAATTTCACCCCTTTCCTCCCCAGCCAGGCTGCATAGCAGTTCCTCGATACTGCCGTGACACGAAAACTGACTTTTAGATACCAAAACAATCTTTGAACACAATGAATGTAACGGAAATGAAATATCCAAACGTACTCACCGAAAACCATTGTAGCTTGCTCACCACAACACTAACGCACTAATTATCACAAGCCAGAAAAACAGGAGTTGCTGATCATCAACCAGGTGACTTGGCAAAATACACACCGATACGCTCGGATACGTCTGCACTGTTCCGCTGTCAAAAACGGAATGTTCCACTCGAAAAATTAATGAAACAGTGGAAAGAATTAATAAACTGGACAGAAAGAAAATCATTTAGAGTAGCTATCGGGAGTGGGGTAACACCTTCTTTTCCGATAGGAAAACTCCAAGAAAGTTGAAAGTTGAATATGATGAGGACTGATATTTGAATCATTTTCGATTTTTCTGGTACTCATATAGGGAGCCCCTCATGAACTTTTTCAGGTAAAAGATTCATTCCGCATAATTTTCTGTAAATTCCTGAAATTTCTCTTCTGTTTGGTATAATAGTCTAGCTTCAAATTCATTACCGACAACAAGCCCAAAAAGTAATGCATATCAGCAAACTCAGCATTTGTGAACTTCACCGTTATAGATGTTCAGAAAGTATTACGTTTATGAAATTTCAGTTGAGTGAGAATCCTTGTACTCGAATAAAAACCTCTCAAAATTGTTTGGCATCAATTATTGTGCCACTGCCATTGTTTCCTTGACAACAATGCTTATAGCTTCCTTTATCAGATATCATGAGCATATTGCGCATCAAATGATTTTTTTTGTTTCATATGAAATCGCCGAAAAGATTTTGGCAGAACATCTTCACGAAAAAAAGTCGATCAAAAGTAATATTTATGTTTGAAAAGTCTGATGTTAACTAATAACTCGACCGTGCATGAAAATATTTTTTTAATTTCACTCGAAAATCGTATGAAGGAGGAAAAAAGTCAGGGTGTCAAATTTAATCTGAAATGAATGAGAATTATGAGAATAACTTTCATTTGAAAAAAAAGCAGTGGCGTACATAATATTTTTTTCAAAATTTTCCAGTCTACATGTCATTTCATATAAAATTGTCTAGTCTACATTTCATAAACATATCAGAAAATGTACTGAAAGTTATGATGAAAAAACATTTTCAATTTGATTTTGACACACTGTAGCTCGAAAGCTAAGAGGGACAAGGGTTCATTCAAACTTTTTTCTTGAAATCACCTGAGTATCCACACTCATAAGGATCAACATCGTATCCTGAAACATCTAAATATTTAAAATTTTTCAATATACCGTATTTGTTACAAATCAACTCAATTCGGATTCGGAAAAAATGGGACATGCAAAAGTTCTTTCAGGTAAAAAATCCTGCCAAATACGTTTCATCCATTTTTTCATAGATTTTGAGGTATACTAGCTCATTGGCATATTCTGTGAATAGGTACTTTTGTTCATGAGGAAAAACCCTGTCAATTTTTCAGGCACATCTGACAGAGAACATCAAAATTTCAAATACTATTACCCACCATAATAATTTGATTTCACTTCCGCACTATCGCTCACGTTCATGAGTCAGATTGGAAATCCTGCCAATCTTAAAAGATGCGGCCATCCACTTAAGACTAACAACATAACACAACAACAACAACAGCCACTGTTAGTGGCTGCCTTAAGTGCTACATTTGTGAGGGTCATATGTTTTGGTTGAGATGATTTCACGCTCACTTTCGGACTCCACTTCAACTACGATATCCACGTGACTGTGAGGACGGTTGTTAACAGCACAACCGTCCTCTGTCGCGATCGTAGAACAAATTCCTGAAGTTAGCCAGTGAAAATTTTAGTTTTTCAAAAAAAGTAACCAACAGAGTAAATGTAAAGACATCGTATATTTGCGTGAGAACTGTCAAGAGTTTTTTAACCTACAATACTTGCTTGTATCAGTTCGGATGAAATATATATATATGAATGTAAATAAATGAATATGTTTCCAAATAATATATCGTGGTGACTGATATTCATTAACAATTTATCGATTTGAAGATAATTTACTGTGATTATAAGTGATAAAAGTGGTTTTCACATATTACTTTGAGTACGTTTATAAAATTTGAGGTTAGTTGATGTTAGGTATGTATTATTTATTTACATCATAAACTGAAATGAATTTTCACATTATCATTTAGTATGTTATAAGTGTCCTCAAATTTGCCGCTACGTTTTGAAATATCCCTACATTTCGAAACAATCCAGTTCCTGTAAGAGAACAACCATCATTGATACGTTATTCGTGAAAATCATGAAACACATTCTAAACAGAAACTAGCGATAGAAAGTACCGATGGCAATGTCTTTATACTTGTGAGCACAAAAAGATGCACCATGAACTATTAGACAACTTTCTGAATTAACTATCTCAGATATAGAGAGATTATAGGGATTTGTCACAGAAGTTCACAGAAGTCAGTAGTTAATACCGAGAGTTACCCGTACAGTTACTAAGGGTGTCTTGTATATGACTTGTGCGAAAACTATTCAAACCTTCAGCTGATCCAATGCGGAAAGCTTCTACTGTTTCAAGTATATATTGCAGGAAAAAGCTTCGATAAAATATCAGTGTCATAATCAGCGGGAGCTTGAAATTTTGAATTTCAATCAGAGATAAGATATAGTCTTTTCAGACTTCATTCGAAATAATTTGTTTGGCATATCCTTTGAATCGCTAAAGGAACAGCAAATATTTTGGTATTCAACGTTTTACGTTTCCCTCAATCAGTTTTGTTGAATTTACTTTCTTCTTCTCTTTCGTGAATTGTATTAGAAGAACCCTGAATGCGAAAGAATGTAGATTTTTGCAACTGAAAACAGAGTTATGCTTTGAATATTCATCGATTACTTCAGATAAGCCAAATGATACACAAATTCTAGCTGATTTGGGAATTCTCCGCATAAAATTGGTAGTGATTTTCGTAGCAGCTCGTCTTAATCCTGTGACTTCGAAATCCTGTTTTTCTGAATTTGATATTGACATTTCGAGACATTTCATTTTATGGTTTGAGGCCAGTTTCGGGTCTGAATGATTTATGTTTTTTGACAACCATTGTTCATATGATATTGTTCCAGCTATCATTAAGAGCAGAACACATTCAAATTAGCGAAAACAGGACTATGTCATGGATATAACTGAATTAATCACATTTAATTGTTTTTAGACTTATTAAACATTTCATGATCAATCCTATATATGTCAGTTCCTTGAGATTTTTTCTGAATTCCTTCTAGATCAGGGTCAGGTTCTGGAGATATTCTCAATGCATTGAAAAATGCAATTGGACAAGGCATCAAACGAAAAGTCGGCCAGATCGCTAAAGCCTCCGCGTCAGCTTCAGGTCATTTCAGCAGTAGTAGTAGCAGTAGTGGTGGTGGAGGACACAGCTATCTTCCCCCAGAACACGCACATGAGGTGAGTGACATAATCGAATTCATCTACGAATTGATGAGTAACTGAATCAGGTACACAATTTTGAACTCATGTCTTCATTTCTAGAAAATTTTATTTCAAAAACTCCTTGCGTGTTAGAAAACTCAAGTTCATTTTCATGACTTTAATTTTCACAATTATACCACCAAGGTATAATAAAAACTGAGAATGGAGAAAATTTTATTTCAAAAACTCCTTGCGTGTTAGAAAACTCAAGGTCATTTTCATGACTTTAATTTTCACATTAAAAAAAATTAAGAAACTAACAGCCGGGACTGCAGACTCGTTTCGATTCTACGTAGGACTACTTTCGTTCATTTCAATAAAGTTTCAAAACAGAAGTTTTAATCACATGAAGTTGTGAATTTTTGAGAGTGCGAATTACATTTTCACAGATAGAAATTGGAAACTTCAAGGACAATTTTCAACAAGGCTTAATACCACCAAGGTATAATAAAAACTGAGAATGGTAGATAATTGAAAACTAAAGTTTTTCCTTTTCATTGATCGATTATTCTTATTTGCAATATACATTTGAGGAAATGAATATATCCTTGTGGGTATTGCTAATCGTATGAACGCTTTTTCAATAATTCACTTGGCTTGCTTTCGCCAAAATATTTGTACTTAACAACAACTTTAATCTATACTTTTATGTTCTGGTTTGGAGTCTCTGATTTCTGGTATATTGATGATGAGATTATTTTTATTATTTTTCCATACGTTTCAGGGTGCTGATTGGAAGGTTTTCACTATTCATATGTGTCAAAACATAAAAAGCACTTTCGATGGAAAATTATTTTTTGTTATCAACAGCCGAGGTGAATGTATCGGCAAAAATGTACCAAAAAGGTGGTTCAGAAATCGAAGAATGTAGAGTTCTTCAAAAGTGTTGGCTAGATATTTCTGAAGTTATGGGATAGCAACACATATTTCCTAGATGGAAAGAGAAACATTGATGTATACTTTTTATATCAATTTCAGCTAAAAAAGTCAGTGCATACCACAATGAATTTTGTTTCAACTACTTGAGGTTCGTGAGTAGTATTATATAATTGAATCTGAAAATTTTTCATACCAGCTTAAAAAAATTGTTTGTGATCTATTCACATAAACATAAAGACGCAATCGGGAAAGCTGTGGTTTGACTAATTCGAAATTATACTTTGAATTTAGGTGCATAACCTTCCAAAATTCAGCTCTTCAGATGTTTTGACGAAAAATAATTAATTTTCGTTTGCAAAACCAAAAAAAATCATTCGTGATCAATGCTTCACATGCGAACAGCCATATTTCCAGCTATATTTCATACACGTTTTGAGCTATATTTCTCTGATACACATTAAAAGAATGAAATGTTAAGATGTTACATTCGATGAAATCTACGTGAATATACAAATATTTTCTGAGAATTCAGTGTAGGTTTAAGTTCATATTTCTATTCTCAACCTGGTATAATCTTTTTCCACAAAATTGTTTGAAACCCACTTGCTGAATTTCTTCATTTTCTCTCAAGGTTCCTCAGTTACAATATTTATTTCACTGCATTTTATTGCGTGATCACCAGTTGATTTTCAATAGATTGATGGTTGTAGCCTTCACTACGTGGTAGGCAATCATCATCAGAAATTATAATTAAAACTTCCAATGATTAATAATCTTATCCCTTGTGATGCACTGTTTGGAACCTTTGGTGTGGTACTGAATATTACTGGAGTTTTTCCCCAACACCAAACCGTTTATGTCTCGACAGAAAATTTGGCAGTTCTCTGTACCGAAAATTCACGTAAAATTATGATTAGAAGAGATATCAATCATCGAAACCAAATTTCATTGAAGATTTTATTATTACTATGGTAGTTGCCTTACTGAAAAAATAATCCGTTTGATCAAACTCGCTTTAACGGTATGAAAAATACTCCATTATGTTGTCTGAGAGCTAGTTGACGTTTCGTTTACGACTCTGGTAAGCGTTATCAATGACGATGAGGTAACAGACAGAGTGCTCGAGCTGTACTCACAGACACAAATTCAAGGTTTGTTTACATCAACCTTGGGATCTATCCGATGGTTTTCGTCAGCCTGATTACTGAATTCAGGTTGTGTTTTTCCATAAATATGCTGATACGATCCGTATCATTCTTCACATAGGATCTAACCTGGTAGTTTGGGATCAGGGGACATGATAGTGAGCTTCGACATGATCTTTTTGTACACGACAGTTTCGATTGAATAAATAGATATCTGATTTGTGAAATATTCGCGGCAGGAAAGTCCTGCGGAAGAGAACTTTTTCTTCATTATTGACTGCGTAACTGTCGTGGTATTGTAATACGGTGAAAACCGACTCAACGAGTTTGTCTGATTTCTGAACTTCCTGATTCCAAAAATAAAATTCACAATGGAACAGGAATTCCAAAGAAAACTCGCCGTAAAATTAACACTCAGAATCGATTTCAACTGAGGCAAAGAGGAAATCAACATCAATGGAATCTGGCTAGCTGCACTGAATTATACTCGAAAAAGGTGTTGATACAATTCAACCAATTAAAACGGAGCCACGCCTACCACCAATAGAATAAACCCAGAGGCTCAAAACCTTATATGAGGTATTTGCTGTGAGGACAATCCTAGCACTTCGTATTTTGTCTCATCACCTTTGATAAAATATACCACAGTCGTAGACGAAATGTTAGAGAAATACCCTGCAGATCACGGGCCATATATCAGGAGAATATTTTTCAGAGTTACACACGGTATTGAGAGTTCACACTTCTCAGTGCCTTGTGTTATTGGAGAAACCCATTCAATATTTATTATATTCGATTATCATAAGCTGAAATGAACTTTCACATAGCAACTCTTTCATAATCAAATTAGAAATGGAAATTAACATAAAATTTTCTAGATTTGCGAAACTTTTTGTGACATACGAGTATTTCACTACTAAGAGGATGAATCATAGCAAACAATATAATCTGATGTCTACTGATCTGATGTATATTGAATATATTCATTAGAACATCAATTTTCAAAATTATTTCTTGTTTGAATGAGGTTGACAATGTTTGTTGGTGAACATAGTGGGTTCGGAAGGAAATACTGAAAAATGAGAGGTTCAAAATATTAGTACAAGTTAGTTAAACATAAAATAATATCAAGAATTGAAAACAATTGATAAAAAATCAGTATGCAATTCGAAAATATAAGAGGACTTGATTCGTTTTTGGTAAAAACAGCTTTATGTCGACTGCTTTATCTTTATAAAAAAGTTTTTTTCAGTTACAGGAAGTTCGGTTCACACGGACGAAAATCCTATGAACATTGAAGTACACAAAAACTTTTTTTTTCTTTAGTTTCTCCTCAAAACATTCGTTATGAAATCAAAGCAGATATGGAAAACGAGCTTCCGGGCTTTCTACTTCTCCACCTTCATTAAAAATATGAAAGGAAGGAAGAAAGCAAGTTCAGAAGATATATATAGATCATCCATGAAATGTACTTTCAGATACAAACTGTGAGGATAAAAGTCCATTCGGAAACATCTACTTCCATATGAATACTGGATAAGACGAAAGAAAGATTACTTTCGAATCATCTACATCATTCTGTTTGTACCCCAAACATTCGTTATAATAGGGGAGCCCAAGCGGGGATTTCGGGATTCACTAAAGCGCGGCAGATTAATATACAGAGGGATACTTTGTACACGGTTGAGTACCTCCACCAAATATGAGCCCCATATATAAGGCCGCCTGTGAGGGATAAATGATCAGATTAGTAAAAAAAATGATCATCAGAAACTCTCGAGCGCATCAGATTAAGGTGTGGTGAGTTAATTACCTGCTAAAAAGTATATATTCCAGTAATCTGACAATTTGAGAGTGATGTAAAGAAAGGGGAGGGCAGCAAAGTTGTAAAAAAATAACGTCATTTCGACATTCTCGAGCTTAGCTAGTTTTTTTTATTTTGAAGAAAATAATTCAAAGATAACTGAAAATATATAAATAATATAGATATAATAAGATTCAAACAGATTTAAACAGAATGAGTTATGATATAAAAATCCACTTGCTTGTAACACTATGGCCTTCGATAGGGAGATAGAAAGCCAAAAATATTTTTTAAAGAAACTAATCTCGTCCTTGAAATATACCGTGATATAAAGTGTAAGTGAAATTTAATACCAATGCTTATCCATTCATAATGTTGGAGTTCTCCTTCGAATGGCATCTATTTAATTTTCATAACAAATGTTTGAAAAAATTATTCAATGAAAACAGGGTTTTTCGTTAATTAAATGTTCATATGAAAGCACATGATCTTAACATATTCGTTGAGAGTTTGTTTCAATCTTATTGTTTTTTCCCGAAAGTTTTCCACATTATTTCGAAAAGGAGACATCAAAGGGCAGAAAGTTCTTCAAATTTGTGAATGATGATTTGTGAAAAACACAAATAATTATGAAAATGAAATTGAATTATTGAATCTGTTGAACTATATGGAAAATGTCAGTTATATGAAGATGATGATAATCAAGGAAGGTAAACATTTAAATTGAAATGGTGAAATCGAACTACTTCACAAATTTTTGATTGTTTGTATATCCAGAATCGGGTGATAACACGTGAAATGGATTTATTCAGTTTCATTTTCAACTTAATACCGCTTTTTCAGAGCTACGATGATCACAAATCGGTTGACTTTTGGACCTTGAAAAAATCAATTCTCAACACGTTGCTGCAGGCAGTGAAAGCCATCAAAGGCGGTGTGATCGCCGTTAAAGGCCAACTCATCAAAGGAAGTGGAAAATTATTATCTGCAAAGGGAAAACTGATAAGCTACAAAGGGGACGCAATTACCAAACTGGGGAAAAATATAGCGACCTCTGCCATATTGGTCCCATATAATGGCCACCATTCAGCAGGACACGAAGGTAATTTTTTACCTATCAGTTTAAATTATGATTCATAATTCAGTTTTAGTAGAAAACGTAGTACACTAGGTGACTGGAGGAAATACGTCAACAGATATTGAAAATAATGTTACAATCCAGTTGCAATCCATTCAAAAATATTTTATTTCATTTTTATTTTATTCATTAAGTAATCTGCAGAACAAGTAGTTCCAATAATCGATTACAATATCAAAAACTGATTGAATACCCATTCTCAATATAACAAAATGACTAAAACTAGAGTTACTCCAAATCACCTGAATCAAAAACAAATTCAAAGACACATTCAGTTGAAAATGACAAATGGACCTTTTTCATACAAATTGACTCTCAGTTACAATTAGTAATAATTTCTAAGGATGACATCTCAATTTCAATATTTTTTTACATTACATTTGAGGAATCTATATTCCTCAAACAATTTGCAAGAGAACACATATTGTATATTGGGGAATTTAAACCTAGATTGGCTAGAGGTTTAGGCAAAACAAATATATCTTTCCTTCTATTATTGAAGTATGTTCTGCAGTTCGGATAAGTTTTTAACAACAAGTGTGAATTATCTACTTTATTATGCAGAAGCTTATGTGAATATTTCAAAACTCCTTTGACATTTGTCGAAGAAGTAAAAAAATAAATAATCAAAAAGGAATAACTGCCAATATAATAAATTTTTTTTGTCCATTTCTGAAGACGGAGGCAGATTTTGGCCTCCGAAACGTTAAGATGAGTATTGTATTATTTCTTAACAATTTTTTTGATAGGCAAAATTGTTTAATACGACAAGTTACTGATAAATAGAAGATTTTTCTTTGTGAAAAATACTTCGATTTTTACGCAGTAACTTATCGGGGTAAACTAAAATTGCCCTTCTACACTTATAAGTATAAAGTGTATTCTCTCCATAATAATTTTTATATCTTTCAAATTGTGGAAGGTAACAAATACTCAGAAAAGATGAGAAATTACATTTGCAAGACTTTTGTCATTCATTCAAATAACACTTCATCTTGATATTTTCACTGAACAGAAAACCACAACGCAGTTTTCAATGTACAAGCCTATTTATTCATCAAGTTCAGTAAATTAAGCACCAGAGGAAGCTATTGTATAGTGAAAGACATGTTGGTGATTTTGTAAACTGTCCAGTGAAAATTTCATGATAGAGTTTCACTTGAATACGTCATGAATTTCCAAGTATTGATCAATTCCATCACATATAATCTCTAAACAGAAATCTTTTCAGTGTTATGTTTTCCAATTTTTGCTATGAAACATTCATAGAGGAGTCTGTGTTAGATAGTGTTTGTGGTTTTTATTGAGGTTTGTTTTTGTATTCTGTTTATAATAACGCAGGTTGCTATATACGAGGTATGTTTGAAAAATAAGATGAATATTCAAATTTCGCAAGCTACGTACTTCCGATTAGCGGTTTTTCGTTTTTTTTTTTTGTACGAGGCATAAAAGTTAGAAGTGTTTCGCCTGTTCGGCGAAGTTTTGCTATTACAAAAATGGATCGATGAATTTGCATCAAATTTTTTGTTAAAAATGGAATGATGTGTTCGTAAACACTTTAAATGTTGACAGTATTATACGGTGATTGTACTCTGAGTCAGAAAAATGTTTAAAACTGGTACAGGATTTTCACAGAAGGTCGAGAAGATGTGGATGACGATGCTCGTCCTCGACGCTCCAGAACATCAACAACCGAATAAAATGTTAGGAAAATTGTCATGAAAAATCGTCTAATGAGAAGTTGCTAAGGATGTTGGTATATCGGTTGGCTCATGCTATGCAATTTTATGGAAATTTTGGGCATGAAACTTGTGGCAACGAAGTACGTTCCAAAATTGCTGTTTTCTGATGAAAAAATTATCGCATGAGCATCACTCAGGAACCGCACTGCATGTGCTCTGTGAATTCGAAGCAATAGCAAGGCTGAGACACGCAAGATGCTGGGAAGAGAAACCAGAGGCTGCCAGCTATATGAAGGGGTCAGTGTCAAGGCTATGGAGTCTCATCAAAGTGATCAAGCGAGACAATGAGCTCTAACAACCAAGGAGCATCATAGTATATTTGAAAATGTCGCAGTGAATCAGACCATGGGCTAGCTCCCCGACCATCTTATCGCTCAGGAGTTGTTGAATTATGTTAACGGCGATCCAGATTTGCTTGAAAGACTCATAATTGGTGACGAATCATGGCTATATGGTTACGACATCGAAACAATGGAAGAGCCCAGGAGAGCTAAGACCAAAAAAGCACGCCGAATTCTATCAACTCTCAAGGTTTTGCTCAGTGTTTTCTTCACTTACCGTGGCGTAGTGCATCGGGAGTTCTAGCCACATCGTCGGACGATCAACAAGAAGTATCATCTTGAAATCATCCGATATTATGAAAAAACAATGCTTGGCCTTTGCATCACGATAACGTGCCTACTCACTTGTCATTATTTGATCGTGAGTTTTTAGCCAATAACAGCACCGTAATCATGTCTTATTCACCAGAATCAGCCCCCTGCGACATTTTCCGTTTCCAAAAATGGAGAGACCCATGAAAGGACGGTATTTTGCGAGGATTGAGGAGATAAAAACTGAATCGCTCAGAGAGCTCGTGGATATACCAGAAAGTGCATATCAAAACTGCTTCGAAAACTGAAAAAAAAGCTGGCACAAGTGTATTTATTATATCTGAGGGGAATACTTCGAAGGAGACAAAAAAGAAATTTTCACACATAGTCACTGGGCATACTTGAAGACTGGCTATAAATCAAATTATCTAAGAACAATTCGTACAGCATTGAAGTTTTCAGTATGATTCCTGAAATAATTATCTGCAGTAGAAACCAAAACTTTTCATATTTTCCAATCTCACTTGAAGTTACAGGGTAGTTGATTTATTCCTTGTTGTTGAACTGTCGTAGCTGAACTACAATGACAACAAATCAATTACATCAACCTTACATTAGTAAAGAAAAAGCGGACCAATTGATTGGTGGAATCAGGGAATTCAATTGGATTGAAAGTTGAATTGTTTGATATAATACCTTCATATACAATTGATCGAAGCCGATCATGAGCTCGAAAGCTTATTATCTCAATAAATATGGTTTTCTGTGAAAACTGATGAATTTGATTGCTCTGAATTGGGAGTTTAGTGAAAGATTATGATTATGATATAGGTAGTGAACCGAAGCTTAAAATTCATGAAAATGGATTTGTGCTGACATAACTGATCAGTTCACATTAGAAGCATGATATTATCATATCCCACTTCACTCACGAGTTCGTAGAGTACATGCCGCACATGATAGAAATGCTTTTTACAGGGTGTCACTTTGGAGACTTCCCACCCTAAATATCTTTCCTCCAGTAAACAATATGAGAAATCGACAAAACAGGTCAACTTTATTGTCAAAGGGGACACATTCAATGACCATTTGTAGCCTTCATGGTTCATCTTCCTAGGAGGGGTAGATGTTACCCTTAGAATTTTAAATAGGAAGGGGGGTCAAGTGGCACATCATTTCGATTGTCGTTCAATTCTGCTTCCAATGATATCATGCTGATTATTTTCAGCTGAGCATTTTCCTAAAAAAGCATTCTGAACTAACAGAAGTAATTACTAGTATGCCTTTACTGAGATGCATGGTTTGACCAGAACTGGTAATACCCTTTATCAGGGGTAACATTAGCCATTGCTTCAATTAATTTACATCAAAAAGTAGTTTGATAGTCAAACGCAGATGGTAAGTTGTGTTTAGAAAATGCTGAAATTTTAATTCACATCGTGTACAGATAACCGTCCTTTTTTGCTACTTCTGCTACTTCCAGGCAAAAAATATCGGTTCGCTAATTTTAACGATGTGGTAGTATTGTGCATACAGTTGTACCTGTTGGGCTGTGATTACTTCAATAAGTGTATAGAAGTGTAAAAATGGTGTACATTCTTCAAGACAGAAATGATTGTAATTTATGGAGAAGTGCGCACAAAGGGCGGCATGTCTTTTTAACGAAAGCCATCCAAATTATAATGTAAATCACCGGTATGTGGTTAATTTGTTGAATAAGTTTTACGAAACTGGTTCAGTGGCAAATAAAAAAATAAACCCAGATTACTAAATGAAACAGCTCATTTTGAAGTTTTGGGAATATTTGCTGCAGAGCTCACGATCAGTATCAGAACAGACGGGAATGTCACGTGAGACTGTAAAGAAGGCATTGAAAATGCATAAATTTCAGCCTTATTGAATGCAGATTCTCAAGAGTTCCACAAGGGTTTTGTGAAATCATGTCTCGTCGAGTCAATACCATCCCTAATCTTCTGGTAAAAATCTATTTCAGCGATGAGTGTTCATTTTTTCTGAATGGCAATGGTAAAAGACAAAATTGTCGCTATTGAAGTGACGAAAACCCACATATTTTTTGGGAAGGGCATACACAACACCCACAAAAAGTCAATGTTCGGACTAGTATTCTTGAAAATGCCATTATTAGTCCATTATTTCTGAAAGGAAACTCAACTGGCAATCTATACTTCGAAATACTTGCAAGACACTATTTGTCGATTCTCTTATTACTCTCGAGCTAGAAATCCAAATGGATATAGAATGTAATGAACTTTTGCAAAAGGGTCTGTTTCATTTCTAGCAGGACGGTGCTCCACCTCATTTTTTTCTTTCCATCAGACAGTGGTTAGATGAGAGTTTTCTGGTATTGGCAGAAGGAAGCAGTTGAATGGCCTCCGAGCTCACCGGATTTAACAACTTTGCATTTTTCTCCTTAAGGGCATCTTAAATCCGTTGTTTATAAAATACAACATTCTGATATTGAAGAATTTAGGAGATGAATTACAGCAGCATGCCAATCAAATCCTAGTGAAGTTTTCCGTAATATTAGAGGGAAGTTCGAAAACAGAATGTATTACTGTTTAGAGCAAAATAGACGATATTTCGAACAGTTCATAAGAGAAGCTTAAGT